TGGTACAGTCACATTGGAAGATAGTTTGTTAGTTTCTTATAAAGCTAAACATACATTTATCACTTGGTCTGGAAATTTCACTCCCAGTTTTTAATCCTAGTGAATCGAAAATTTATTTCATGCAAAACTCTCTACATGAATGCTTATAGCAGAGCTACTCATTATCACCAAAAAAGACAGCAACGTACGGGGGAACATCCCTCACCATAACAACAACAGAAAGCCTCCTAAAACAAATAATTGTTATAGCAAGCTTCCAGGATACAAGGTTAATATACAAAAGTTAATTGCTTTCTTATAAACCAACATTGAATACTTGGAATTTGAAATTAAAAATTACAATATCATTTATATTAGCATCCTCTGAAAATGATTATGTATACATTTAACATGATATACAGAAGACTGTATGAGAAAAACTACAGAACTCTAATGAAAGAAATCAAAGTGCATTTAAGTATATAGAGAAATATTCCATATACATGTATAAAAAGACTCAATATTGCTAAGATATCAGTTCTCTTGATCTATAGATTCAATGCAATCCTAATCAAATCTTAATCAAAATTCCAGCCAGTTTGTGGATATTGCGATTCTAAAGTTTATATGGAAAAACAAAAGACAATCAAAAGTATCAAGTCATTAAAAAAAAACCAAAACACTGAGAAACTGTCACACTTGAGGAGACTAAGGAGACATCATGACTAAATGCAATGTGGTTTCTTAGATCTGATACTAGAACAGAAAAAAGGGCATTAGTGGATAAACTGGTGAAATTCAAAGGAAGTGTGGAGTGTGGGTTATAGTAATATGCCAATATCCATATTTTAGTTTTGACAAATGTACCATAGTTATGAGAAAAATTAGCATTCAGGGAAATTGGGTAAAATGTGAATAGGATCACCATACTACCTTTGCTACTTCCCAATAAACCTAAAATTATTCCTCCAAAAAATATATACTTAGAAAAAAAAGGCAGCCAGAAAAAATAAACATGCGTTACTTCAAAAACTAATTAGATTTTGTTTTGCAGTTTTCAACAGAAACAATTAAAATTTTTGCACAGTTTTCAACAGACACAATGGAAGATAAAGACAATGTAATTACATTTTTAAAGCTCTGTGTTAAAGAAAAAAATCTACTGATCTATAAATCTATAACCAATTTTAAAAATCCTTCAAAACTGAAAGTGAAATAATGACATTTTGAGGACAAAAAAGCACTATAAAAATTATTAAAGACAGTTCTTCAGGCTGAGTAAAAGTAACATCGATGAAAGCACAAAATTGCTAGAAGTCAAGAACACAGAAAAAGATTAAAGTGAAAACAAATATAAGAGAATATTAACGGTTTAATGAAATAATAATATTTAAAAGTAAAATATGGCAATAAGAGCACGAAGTGTGGGATGAGGGGTATATATCAAATTAAACTATTATTGAATCTTGTGGTTTTTTAAGTTGTTTTTAATCTTGTTAATTAGGGAAGTCATAAATGCACCATTGCAATCAATGTACACTATAATAAATCAATGATGCTTGTTTCAATTGACGGTAATTTTTTTAATTTATTTTTTTTAATATGAAATGTATTGTCAAATTGGTTTCCATACAACACCCAATGCTCATCCCAACAGGTGCCCTCCTCAATACCCATCACCCACCCACCCCTCCCTGCCACCCCCCCATAAACCCTCAGTTTGTTCTCAGTTTTTAAGAGTCTCTTATGTTTTGGCTCCCTCCCTCTCTAATCATTTTTTTTTCCTTCCCCTCCCCCATGGTCTTCTGTTAAGTTCCTCAGGATCCACATAGGAGTGAAAACATATGGAATCTGGCCTTCTCTGTATGACTTATTTCACTTAGTATAACACTCTCCAGTTCCATTCACATTGCTACAAAAGGCCATATTTCATTCTTTCTCATTGCCATGTAGTATCCCATTGTGTATATAAACCACAATTTCTTTATCCATTCATCAGTTGATGGACATTTAGGCTCTTTCCATAATTTAGCTATTGTTGAGGGTGCTGCTACAAACATTGGGGTACAAGTGCCCCTATGCATTAGTACTTCTGTATCCCTTGGGTAAATTCCTAGCGGTGCTACTGCTGGGTCATAGGGTATGTCTATTTTTAATTTTTTGAGGAACCTCCACACTGTTTTCCAGAGCAGCTGCACCAGTTTGCATTCCCACCAACAGTGCCAGAGGGTTCCCATTTCTCCACATCCTCTCCAGCATCTATAGTCTCCTGTTTTGTTCATTTTAGCCACTCTGACTGGCGTGAGGTGATATCTCATTGTGGTTTTGATTTGTATTTCCCTGATGAGTAGCGACATTGAGAATCTTTTCATGTGCCTGTTGGCCATCTGGATGTCTTCTTTAGAGAAGTGAATTGACAGTAATTTCTAATTTCTATATTTTCTACTATATATATTTAGTAAATATATACTAACATACGAAATCACAAAATTTGTAATTCTTTTTAAAATAATCTTGAGAGGCGCCTGGGTGGGTCAGTTGATTAGGCATCAAACTCTTGATTTCAGTTCAGGTCATGATCTCATTGTTTGTGGAATCAAGCTCTGCATCAGAATCTGTACTGACAGCACAGAGCCTGCTTGGGATTCTCTGTCTCCCTCCCTCTCTGCCCCACCTCCACTCATGTGCTCGCTCTCTCTCTCTCTCTCTCTTTCTCTCTCTCTCTCTCTCTCAAAATAAACATTAAAAAAATAAAATAAAATATTTTTGAGAACTTCCACTTATGACCATGCAGAATAAATATGCCTTGTTTGCATTCTCATCATAAACACAAGGAAAACAGAACAAATTATATAAAGCTAACTTTTTCTGACACTGGCCAGAAAAACCAGTGCATGACCAAGAATTCTGGGGAAAAGGACACATGAAGCAAGATTGATAATCTCCCCCAGACCTCTGACTAATGACATTTTTATCCTGCAGCACAGGCAGGATGACCCCAGGCAGAGATGGCAGCCATACTGAGTTATGAAGATAGAGATGGAAGTCTTGGGAGAGTCTGAGGCAGCTGAAATATGTAGAGCAGAATAAATAAAGAGGGCAGAGTTACGCAGAGAAAATTTTTAAAAATCTGCATAGGCTACTCCATAAGAAATTTGTTGATTACTAAACCATAAATCATGGGGTGAAACCCCATGAGACCAGGGAAAGAGCAGTTGTCAGCGACAGAGTCTCAGAACTTAAAAGATGTCTGAGTACTGACCATACAGCAGAGGGTTGTCTCATTGAGCATTGGACCTATCAGTAGTAATAGGAGAAGAAGGACTAAGATATTCATAGATTAAAAGCTATTCTAGACCTGCCCTTAAACTTAAAATCAGATTAGAAGTGATCTAGCTGATCTGAAAGTAACTTAATTGCCTGCCATTAAGAAAGAAAGAAAGAAAGAAAGAAAGAAAGAAAGAAAGAAAGAAAGAAAGAAAGAAAGAAA